GATCTTGCTTTTGAGTTGCTTACTCATACCATAGTAGCCTCTGTTGGCCAACAATATACTTCAACGAATTTCAAAACTGATGTAATTAGTTTTATTTATGGCGGTCCAAGGTGACTGTTACCGCTCTCAATGTTCGACCCATTATGTCGATGTCATCGCTGTAGACGAGTAACATGCGTTGTTTGGTGTACAGAGTGTCATTTCTGCTCACCTTTGCATCTCGTATGACCTTTTCCAGCAGGATGTTAAAAAGGTCACACGACCAACTATCACCTTGTCTGAATCCTCGTTCGGTATTAAAGGGCTCCGGGAGGTCCTTTCCGACTTTAACTGCTGATCTTGTGCCAGTTAAAGTTATCCTGCATAATCGAATTAATTTTGCAGGAATGCCAAACGCAGACATGGCTTTAAACACATCTGGATGGATAGGGCTTTCGAATGCGGCTTTGGTGGTATGTATCGATGTGTTTTTCGTGGGTTTTTCCAGGATTTGGCGTAGAGTGAAAATCTGGTCAATGGTGGACTGGTCAGGTCTGAAGCCGCATTGGTATGGTCCAATAATATCATTGACCATCGCCTTCAGTCGTTCACACAGCACGCTGGATAGCACTTTATATGCGATGAGAAGGAGACTTATTCCTCTATAATTGACGTATATCGTCTTGTCTCCTTTTTTGTGATGCTGAGGTTCCAATCATTGGGCATGCATTCTTATAGTCAAATTGTACTAATCAGCTGGTGCATGCTCCTTACCAGCATTTGACCACCAGTCTTGAATAGTTCGGCTTGAAACCCATCGGCACCTGCTGTTTTATTATTCTTCAGCCGATTGATTGCTATTCTCATCTCATCTTGGCTAGGTGGTATACGCTCTATTCCATCATCTCTTATTGGTTTGGGGGTATCTTCTTCACCGCCACTTTTTGATACCAGAATCTTTTCAAAATGCTCCTTCCAGATCCTTAACATGCTGTCTGTATCTGTCACCAGGTTTCCTTCTTCATCTCTACAGGAGGATGTGCCTGCACCAAAGCCGTCGGTTTGGTGTTTTACTCGTTGATAAAATTTTTGGACTTCATTCTGAATCCTGTACATCTCGATTTGCTCACGCTCACGTTTTTCTTGTTCTCTCTTCTTTTTTCTAAAAACACGTTTCTCCTCTCTTTTCCTTGCGATAATTCTCCATCACATTGCGTATTGCTACTGCCTGCATGGTTGCCGTATACGCTGCGTTTTTCACATCAGTAGAATCACGACACTCCTGATCGTACCATGGGTTTCTTGCCATTGTGCTTTTATACTATTATCGGGACAAGAAGTGTTTTCGTCAAGCAGGTCTAATACACTGAATGAATGCCTTCCGTCTATCAAAACATGGTCAATTTGATTTCTCGTTGCTTGATCAGGAGAAATCCAGGTGGTCTTTTACATATCAATATGTTTGAAACTGGTGCTGCTAACTATCATGTTTTTTGCTGCCGCGAAGTCAATAAACCTCATGCCGTTGTCGGAAGATTCTTCATGAAGGCTGAATTTTCCGACGGTGGGGTTAAAAATATTTTCCCTTCCAATTTTTGCATTAAAATCTCCTAGCAGAATTTTAATGTCTAGGCGCTCGTAAAATATGTCTTGTCGGAGCATAGGCGCAAATAAGACTGATGTAGAAGAAATTCGCTTTTATGCGGATTATAGCAATTCGCTCATCTACTGGAGTGAATCTGAAGACGATGTCTTTTATTCTCCTGTTAACCATTAATCCGCAGCCAAATTCATATCTCATTTCAGGGCAGCTATAATACAGTGCGTAATCGTCTGATTTACTTATGGCTTTTGAGCGGGGGCATTATCATTCATTCGCACATCATGGCCTAGCCACCGTAGTCGTTGCAGCTCAATACAACTGACTATGTCGATGCCCACGCATAAATTGTAAAGCTCGTGGTTCATTCAACGCCGATGCAGATCGGCCGGTTGATCTTTCGAAGAAATTTTCTTTCAAAAAAGTGATTCAGATAATATATAATTCCATCACAACATACAGTTACAAATTACTTCAAAATATTACAAAATAATCCAAATCCATGTTCAATTCAACATTTCAAATATAATTTTTGATTTGTTAAAACTAATAAAAACTGATAAAGTTTCCTCCTAACAAATCGCAGTTCTGTTTTTTGTTGGAGAACATTGTTGTGCCGTTGTGTACCAACGACGACGACACGCCAAATCGCTATCACGTGTTGCAAATATTATTAATTATTTATAATACTTGGTCTGTGACGTAGCGCGCAAATTAATAACAAAAGCAACAACAAGAAAAATATTGCACAAAATAAAAAAATAAAAAATTAAACAATACATGAATATGAGTCATACTCTTCAACCGACTATCTATGCGACTGGGCGCTCTCTAGCCGATTACGAATGGCAGTGGTGGGGTTCAGTTAAACTTAGTGTCTCACAATCACTGCACCACCACACACATTGTGGCGAACGTCTGAAATTAAGTTGCCGATTTTTTTGTTTATTTATTTTCCTTTGTGTTGTGTTGCTCTCTCTGGAAAATGCAATTGCTTAATGAAAAACTGAAACCAAAAAATAGAAAATTATTATAATTATGAACGGCAGCAGCGGTAAAAACAAAAGTGAAACGATTGCATGTTACCGATACATTAATAAAACAAAAAAATATATTAAATGAACAAATAATAATTATATACAAAAATACATATATATAGACTATGTACAGTGTCTCATATGTTTGTATGAATTTATGTACAAAAATGTAATGGGCGAAACATGTTCGATAAATTGAAGAAAGTTTTACCAAAAAAATCAACCAACCGACAAAATATCATGTTACCGCCCTCCAAAAGAATTTTTGTAGCATCACAAATAAAAGGTACTTCTTTTCTTTTTACGTATGTGCATACAAACTTTACACATTTTATTTAAATTAGTTTACTTATTTTTTCTTTCTGCTACACAGTGGCGAAATTCAATATTCGCAATCGCAATGTTGAATCACTTTTCATTTTTGTGTAAGTTAATTTGTGTGTGTGTGTGGTTGTTGAATGCAAATTTAATAAACAATTCTTGTCAATCGAAGTAATAATATTTCCACAATAACAACATCAAGTTTATTACAATCAAATGTAGAACATCAACCAATACCAGACAGACAACCAACCAACCAACGAAGTTATCATCATATTCATCTTCAGCATTCAGTGCTTGAACTGAATATTTAACCACCAAACCTATCAACGAATGTCCATGATAATTTTACTACTAGGGTTTCGGTATTTCAACGTTCAAAGTACATTGCTTGTCGATTTCTTTATGCCCTGCATTGGTACAGGTGGGCGTATGACAAAAAAAGGAATGCCAACCTCAAAAATAATTTTGGAAAGCGTGGCACGAAATTCTTTTTATATGAAATTTTATTTGGGCGATGTGCCCGATCAATCTTTTATCCTTGCAAAATTGAAACAATAGCAAATTGTAAATCTCAGGCGTATATTAAAATCGGATGCTATGCTTACCTAGCTGGCTTGTGACAGAATGTTTGTTCCATAAGCCTTGCTTAAAAAAGATTTCCAGGAGAGTCGGTCTTGTGCGCAGCTTATCCAATTTGAAAGACCATGTTCCGAGATGTTGTTTTCCACTTGATCTTTTCATCGAATTGATGGCCTTTCGCTTCTGCGTAGGCTCGCTTTTATATGGGAAGCGGACGACCTGCGCGGGACTCTTAACACTATCCGCAATAGTTTAGAGGAGCAAAGTAAGAAAATATTCGACCAGTTAGACTTATAACGGAAGAGCAGTGTGGGGATACGATTCCGAAGGAACTGCTACTATATCTCACCCTGACTGATGATGAGCTGTACACCACAGTGATCCCAGCCAAGTCTACACAGTATCATAAACGAAGGAAGCGCAGACCCTGTTGACCGGTCCTGTGTCGGCACTTGACGACAATAAACTTCGATGTCCGACGATGAGGAATCTGTTGAGACCCCAGCAACGCACAGCGGCTCAAATGTTGGTAAGGCCCGAGAAGTAGCTGATGCGAAGCACTACAAACGTGCTGTTTCGTATCTCCGCAAATTCGTGGGGCGTGGAGTGAATTTGATTTCGGAGAGGGAGATTCAACTCATCAAGGTGAGGTGAATCTCCCTCTCGCTCTCCATCGTGAACTCCAGATGGATAGGATCTCCCTCCCGAATCAAACTGCTCGATTAAAAATCTCAAAGGAGACCTCTAAATCGGCGAAGCCGCCCACTGTCTCTGACAAACGTGCTAAGTCGACTTCTGATCTGAAGCCTAGCTCGAAGCCTAACCCTAGTCAAAAGGTAAAGGAAAATACTACTGAGAACATTCCGAAACAAAATGTCCCCATAAGGGTTTTCAACGTGCGGAAGTCTCTGTCTCAAAGCCCGATTCTACTCCTAGCGACAAAGAAGGTGAAGCGGTTGGTGCTAGAGCTTTGGGTGGATCCACCAGTGGTCGGAATAGGAAGAAAGGAAAGTCCGGCAAGGAACCATTGTCTCCTGGAAGAACAAATGCCGCCCCACAGAGCAAATCTGTGAAGCGCATCCGCTCATCAGAAGATCCACAACCTTCACCCAAGAAGACGGCCTTGCCATTTCAATCTTGGTATCTATCAGAACTGGCAAAACTCGATATTTGGTAAAGGGTTGTGAAATTATTGTACCCTTGGCAGAGACAATTAATGCCCATTGCCTGCTGGGTAATTATCAGCAGCATCAAATGACCCGCAAATGTTTTGTCATCTTAATCCGGAATATTATTTGAACGGTTAACTTTTTATAGCTCTCATTCCTTCAAACAATATTTTCCTTGCATTTATTACCACACCATCTTCCATGGGCCTATTGTAATGTATTTTTTATTACATATTTTTCGCACTGCTTGCCAAAGAATATCTAATTTCACATTTTATTTTTCCCCATTTCCTCTTCCGTTATTTTTGCCAGGTGTTCTAAACAATCTCTTCGATGGCTTATCAGACAAGGATGAAACTGTGCGCTTGGCAATACAATCTGCCTTGGTTAAGATTATCGAAACACATCCGGTTAGGGCAACAGAAATTCTCCTGGAATATCGAGAGAAACATCCTAAGATGAGTGAACAGACAACAAATATTATATTAAAGTAAGTAATGCATTTTTGTTGTTTTTTTAGGAATTTTAAATTACCTTAATGTTTCCTTTCCACAGAGCCATTGAACGGGTGGTATCGTCAGACACAACCATACCCAGTGAGGCCCACAAAAAGTTGGCCACATTGGCCATAGAAGAATTGACACGTTCGTGTGAACATGTTCCCAGTATACAAAATCATGCTCTCAATATATTGGTGGCCATTGGCCGGGGTGATGACTGTAAAATGGTTATGGAAGCCCTAATGGCTCACACCAAAGAGGGTACGGTGGCCCATTTTATGGTCATGCAATGTTTTGGCACCTTGGCCTCCACAAATGTACCAGCTGTTGTGCCTTTTATTAAACAGATTTTGTCGACAATTTTGACAAATTTAAATTCCATTAAACAGGATCACATAAAACAGTCGCATGCATATGGTGAGTTAGGGGACATTTGATTAGGATTTCCAAAATTAAAATTTCAATATAATTTCTCTTTGCATTGCAGCCATTGGTCGCTTTAGTGAAGCTCTTTTGGAACAAACATCAGCAAACGCAACCGCCGCTGCTACTACAGAAATCACCACTACCTCAACAAATGGCGAAGGGGAGGAGGCGAAGAAGGAGGAGGAGAAGGATGCCGAAACAAACCCGGATGCTGCCGCAGCAGCACCAAAACCAATTGGTTCCTTTCCTGATTGTTCCACAGAAATTTCCATTGCCTATGATGTGCTCTTCAAACAGTGGCTACATTCACGGGAACCCAAAGTGTGTGTCGAAATTCTGCAGGCATTATCTTCCATGTTCCCCCTGCTACCGCCAGACACCATACAAGATCAAACTCCCCGTTTGGTACCACAAGTTTTGGGCCTATATCGTCGCTCCATTGAACGTAATTCCATCACGCAATTCCTATCGGCTGTGCTGAAAACAAATATTGCCATCCAACCTTCGGTGTTGGACTGTGTTGCCGATCAATTAATTTCCAATCTTTTTGATTTGGTCTGTGTCTATCCCGACTATGAAAAACCACAAACCGTCAAAGGCCACTATGAAGTATTACGATGCTTCCATCTACTGTCCAGTGTGTATGCCACCAAAATAATGGACACCCTTCTAATGCATTTGCGTAACAACAGTGAACGGGAACGCATCAAGTCCTTGTTGATACTGACACACCTCTTGAATACCTCCACCGTGAATATTGAAAATAAATTGCAAGCTTTTATTGAATGCCTCAAACAGATGATAACCAGTGAGAAAAGTATTAAAATGAAAATGACCCTGCTGAAATGTATTGTGGCCTTGGCCCAAAAATCCTTCATCAAGGAAAAGGAATTTGTTTGGTTTATTGTGCGTTACAGTTGTAAATATACTAAAGTGAATCAGGAACATGGCTCTTTGGAAGATCATGCCAATTTTGTTTTATCCTGTGAAAGTTCGCTGCACATGTTGGCCTCCACTGTGGGCACAATGGATGAGTTACTGAAACGTGAATTGTTAAACTATTTTGTATTATTGGACTACACCGATATCTGTTCAAATTTGGCCAAGTGCCTGGCAAGTTTATTTTCGAAATCAGCAAATATTGAATTTGAAATTGCCCACGATGAAGATGAGTCGTCCACCGAATCCAGAAGAGAGTCCAATGCTGGCACAGAGGAGGTAACTGCCAAAACTCCCAGTTTGGTGAAGAGCGGTAAAATTGTTGTACCCTCGGCCGAGACCATTTATGCCCGTTGCCTATCTCTGCTGGGTAATTATCACAGCATTAAGAGGTCGACAAATGTTTTGTCATTCCTTAAATACTATTATCCTCATCTTAATCCGGAGTTGAGTAAACTATGGGACAAATCCATATCGGATTTGCTGTTAAATATCAACAAAGAATCTGTGTATTTTAATAAACTCAACAACTTTATTGTGGAAACCAATGACTTCCTGGCCAAACATGATGAACATTTTGCCGAACGTTTATCCAATAAAATGGCTGAGCAGACAATAATCTATCCCATGGTTCTGCCGCACAATGAATTCGTCATACCCTCGCTGAATGTGGAACGGGGTATGCTGATGAAAGCCATGGCTCTCACACTGTGCAACGTCAACGATGATGCCATTGTCAATGCCAAATTGGATTTAATCATTACCTCTGCCAGGCAGGAGAAAATGGATAAACACACCAAACACATTGAATATGAGGATAAAATCATACCCTACTGCCAGGCCTTGGGCTTTTTGGCTCGCAAACATTACGCCCTAGTTATTAAGAAACTGGCCGAATTGGCCAACATTGGTGGTCGCAAACATTCGACCGGATTCTTTTCAAATTTACACTTCATCAAAGACACACACAAGGAATTGGAAAATTTCAAGACGAACCTCCTGGCCATTAAGTCCCTGGGCTATGTCATGGAAGAAGCAGATCCTCTACAGTCGCTGGCCAATCTCGACGATACCATTTTCAACTTTTTAATACTCCAATTGAAATTCACCAAAGACCAATGTGTTATGTCGGCCATTTTGAAGACCCTGCTGAGTATTTGTAATCAAATGATTAGCGCCAAAGAAACTCAAACCACCACACCTCTGAAATATCGCAAACAAATTATGGAGGCAGTATTTAGTATACCCATCGAACCACCATTTGATGATCTACCTCTGCTGCCCATTATCCTAAAATTGGGTACCGACTTCATACGCATTGGTGGTGAAGATGCCACCGAATCGGTTGATGGTGGTGTCATTTTCGAAATTGCCTGTAAAAATTTCTTCAATTGTGCCCAGAATTTAAAAATGAAATTTGAATCCCAGGAAGAGGATGAACGTAACAGCTTCCTGGCCAAATATCTCAATGAATCATTACCGGAATTGAATAAATTAGTAAAGGTCATTATCGAAATGGATCCCTCACCCTCGACATTGGATCTAATCATATCGATACTGGAAACATGGACACGTGATAAAAATTCCGAAGTACGCATTTGTGCTAGTCATGTCTATAACAACACTTTGGAAGTCTATATCAAATCCATGAAAATTGGTTGCGAAGCACCATCGAAATTTAATCAAACGGGACAAATGTTGGGTAAAATTGTACCACGTTGCATCGATTCAAATGGTACGGTACGTCAGGTTTCGGTGGATATATTACAAAAGACTTTGGAGATTGCGTGCATCTATGAAACGCTCACAATTGCTGACAGCGAAACCGATTGGGTGAAAGAAATCGAATTGGTTAAAGAACAAATCATTACCGATGATCCGAAACAAATATACAATCTTGCTGGCGAGATTGCAAAGATTATTGCGGTACGCATATCGAATTTTCAATATTTACAATTTTGGTAAGTGTGCGGAGGGATTTTTTGAAATGTTATTATATATTGAAATTTTCTATTGTTTGTAGTAAAACTTTATTGGCTGGTCTCAAGGATCCTGAACAAAGTTCTGCCATAGGTGCTTCTGTTGTTTTGAAGTTCTTTATACAGCAAAAGGGTTCAGAATTGTTCCATGCTGTACCGGATTTAGTTAAAGAATGTTTGGCGGTGAGTATTACATACCGTACTTTTCTATGGAAGATCTAATTTTTATATCGGGAAGTTCGAAAATACATATATGCCAAATTTCAAGATTCCCCATGCTAGGCTTAGCTGGGCAGTTGAAGAGGTGCAACGTGTCGTGTGGTCTTAGCCCACATGCAGGACATGTGTTAGGTATCAATCCGTCAATTCTTGTGCAATAGGAATTGAGACGTTTGCACCATCCTGATCTTAGTTGAGCTAAGACTAATCGTGCTTGTCTGGGCAACTGTTTGTCCTCTGCTGCGATGGATGGAGGATGGTCTCTGATTATGGTATTCACGCGATATTCCTCTACTGCCTGGGCGACTGCGTCCGTGTGAATAATATTCAGACCTGCTGATGGGCTTCTTGATCTAGAGGTTCACGTTTGCATCTTTGGACCTATCTCTCTAGATCATGAAGATTTTTGCTGACATGCATAGGCGGGGAAGTCCTATGACAGCGGCGTTCCCGAGGATAGCACCCAAGCAAGTACTGCATCGTCAACATATAATTGTGGACGATGGACGTGTTACATCTTCATCTCCTCATAATGATGGTCCACTGGAGTCATGAGTAGATTCTCAGGGCAACATTCTGGCAGGTCTGGATATTCTTCCACTGCGTATCACTTACGCCACACTGGCGTCGCATATCTTGCGAATCCACACTGGCGCCGCATATCTTACAACTGGCTGGCCTATTGCTTTGTAAGAGGTCAAGAAGGTTTCTTTGTCAACGCCCTATCGACTTGAGGACCTTGTTGTTCCCACTTCTCAGCTTATCGCATAAATCACAACCTCGAATCACCAAATATAGCAAATTTTATAAATTTGATTTTTATTTTCAGGCCATACACTCTTGCGATGTAAATCGGGCCAAATCTGGGGTACTCAAAGCATTGGTGGCCCTTACCAAACATCATCCGAAGTTGGTATCATGTGAAATTCTAACACAGCAGCTGCCCTATGAAGAGTGAGTAACCGCAACAATTTCTTTAATATAAACCAACATATTCTAAGCTAACCTTTTTTTTAATTTTAGAAACATTGTCGAATATTGGCATTTGATTTGTACAGATGCCGAACTGGCTGGAGTATTACTCGATCACTTTTTGCAAATTCTATCATCCGCTTGTATATATGAACAAAATGAAGCCTGTGTGGATCGACAAAAAATTGCTAGTATGCAACCGTTTGCGATATTTTGTGCTCTACACGAAATGATGCCTTGCAAGGATATCAAGACGGTAAGGACTTTAAGCAATATATCAAAGGGGAGAGGAATAATTTATATTTTTTTTCTGCTTACAGCAACTGAAATTGAAATTTCCTGAATTGTTTACCATGTTGTTAACATCCCTGGCATCTTATACAAATTTAGCTGCACCCATGCAAACTGGACCACCCCGTAGTGTTTCACCAACGCCCACATCCAGCTCTTCGTCTATCATCACCCTCTCCTCAAGTTCGAAAAATAAATTCGGTTTTATACCCAATAAAGAATCGATAAAATTAAATCCCTGCCAAATAGTTTTGGAGACATTCCAAAAATTCCTCGACAGTTTGGAAATGGAACAAATTGGCACCGTACTTACTGTACACACCCATTTAGCTTCTAGTACCGATCTCAAGAATTTCATAGAATTACTAACACCCATGGCCATTGGTGTATCAAATCAAATTGATATTAATTCCAGTGAAATGAAACAAATTGTAACGACCCTAAGTAAATATGTAGCCTCTCCGTATGATGCCCAGAGAGTAGCAGCTGTGGGCCTATTCTCACGCATGGTACCCCTTAAACCGTGTGGTGAAATTTCCGCCAACATCATGAATCATCTGACAAATGCCCTGAGTGATCCCAATGCCATTGTTAGGGGTCTCAGTATTCAGGGTATGGGCTATGTGGGCCTGCTTAACGAAGATGATATTGAAAAATATGATGAGACTGCAATAACTGCTCTGTTGAAGGGTGTTGATGACACTGTGAGGTGAGTGTGGACAAAGTTTCACATTAACACGAAAATTTTGTTAAACGCAAATTTTTCTCATTTTAGCGATTGCCTGATAAATATCCCCTTGGAAAGTATGCGTGGCTTGTCACGTATCCTACAAAATCTTCCCAGTGATCGTGTTGAGACATTCCATGTCTCATTGGCCATACGTATAAGACCGTTCTTTGGTAGTTATTCTCTAGAAATACGCGAAGCAGCCATTATCTTATTTGGTGATTTATGTGAATCTAAAATAACGGTGCAAGATGGTACGGTTACACCATCCGAATCATCAAATGAAGCATTAAGGGAACAATTAATTGCAAATCTATTTCCTTTACTGTTACACTTAAGTGAGGGAGAGGCTGCTATTATAAGGGTACGTTCCGAAAACGAATAATTAAAAATTGTTATTCTAATAATTTATTTATTTATTTTTTTTTTTTTTTTTTTTTTTTTTTTGTAGGCCTGCAAGGGTACTTTACGGAAGGTATGCCGTCTACTGAACTCTCTAAAAATCAATGATATGGCCCAGCGTCATCTTTTGGATCATGGCCAATTGAATTATAATAATTTTATCATTGATTTTGTAAAAGTTATTGTAAGTTTTAAAATGGAGATATTTAAATTCCATAATTTTTTTTAAAATGGGGTTATTTCTATTTTTAGTCCATGGAACTGACAGATCATATACAAGACTTTATTGACTCATGTCTACCTAAATTACGCAGTCAATGGCCCGAAGTTAGAGGCAGTGCTGCAATTGTTATCGGTGAGTAACAATAAATAAAAATATGTATCCTCAAAAGTGAGAAAAAACAGATATATGTAAATCAAACGCTGGGATGCAATAATAAGTCTCAGCTATCAGTCAAAGATGGATCCAGACATATTTACCAAATCCTATGGGATGAAAAAGGAAGCTACTTTTTCCAGTTTTTTCCTCAACCACCCAGACTCCATTGGCATTCTGGAACTCCCATTTCGCCAACGGATATCAAACTCTTTTTTATACAGGGCACACGTATGGTGAAGTCTATCTTCACCGTATGAAAATATCAAGCACAAACATCTGCGAGACGTGCAACAAAATTGAATCCGACGATCATGTTATATTCAAGTGCAGCAAATATATTACAGTCAGGAACGATCAGGACGATCGACCAACCCAAGTTGTCGGTATAAGGCAACAAAAGCTCAATAAAAATCAAACGCATTGTTCAGTTGATCCGCTTGCTTGGAATCCGCTGTTAGGTGTTGTTGTTGTTGTAGCAACAAAATACATATTATTATGGGCTATGAATTGTCTGGTTCTGGTTCCTCTATCTCCAAATTCGCTCATGGCCCTTTGGGCTAGGTTCTTGTTTATGAAAAGAATTGAATTGAATATTGCAACTTGTGCTCGCATACTAGTCTGTTATCTACCTCGGCAGTTCCACAATTGGCTGCTACTCCATACATTCAATGTAAGGGTCACTAGAGTCTAGATCAAGCGAGATAGATCTATACTGGACTAAATGTTGTAACAAGAATGAAAGTCCCCCAGCTCCGCCTCTGGTACGATCCTTACGCACAACGTTGTAAGCTACAGTTCTCGGTCAGCTTTGTTCCCCCAGCTCCGCCTCTGGTACGATCCTTACGCACAACGTTGTAAGCTACAGTTCTCGGTCAGCTTTGTTCCCTGAATCGCAGCGACCATTATTCTCCTTCGACTCATATACTATGCAATTTCACTGATCTTGTTGCAAAGACCATCGCAGTTGAATTGCAAAAACGATGCATTATCTAAGCACGGAACAGCAATATGTTGTTTGAAAATGTGTCTACTATTGGTTTGGGAATGCGGGGTTGACTGTGAATGATGTGTGTGTGGGAGGAGGATGTGTTAAACTGTGGGTGGTTATAGTATTATGTGTGGATTGAAGGGATTAATAAAATGTTATGTTGGGAGCTGCAAAAAAGTCGCCACTTCTATTGACCTCAGCCACAGATCAATGGGACATAGGTCCGTGGGCTGGAGTGGACTTGAAAAAAGATGACCACTTGCAGGCAGGGCCCACATGGGACAAATGTCTTCAATCCCTGCGACTCTCGCTTGATACACATTCAGGATGACTGACCATCCTGACCAAAGTTGCGCTAATATGGTTCTGGTTCTTCTAGGCAGGGACTTCTCAGCTTCGGCTACCGCTGGAGGTTGTCAATTAAGGACACGATTTGAGTGTGAAGAATTTTGAGCGATGCAGCTAGTGACAATCGGTCGATGTCAGATAGAATGACTTCCTGAATGTCGTTGTTGTATCGCATGATGTCCTTCCGGATGTGTCGAGGGTAATGGATCCTGAACAACTGGTTGGGATGCGTGGACAGATGGCATGTCGCAGGATCTGTCTGGTGAGCAACACATTCACCCTTATTACGGTAGGCGTAGTCGTTGTACGGCAGCTCTCGTAGGTGTAGTCGATTGCGTTGTCGTAGTCGTTTTTGGTCGGTATTATGTAAAATTTTCGACAACGCCAAATATTGTAATAGATTTTTCTTTTACTCTGTTACAAAACCAAATCAAAAATTGTTCTTTTAGAACCCTTTTTATATTGTATTGGAAAAACTATGTAATTTTGTTTGTTTTCTAATTAATTTTTGTGGTAATTGTAATTCTTATGAATATTGAGTAATGCAATAAAATAAAGTTGAATGTAACAGTTAATCAGTAAATATTTTTAAAATGCAATTTTAACACATTTTTATATATTTTTGTATGCTGTCGTCAAAAAAAAAATTGTTCACGACAGATTTGGCGTATTGTAACGCCTTTCGTAATACCGATTTGTCGTATAAATGCGACAGTGCCAAATTTTCAACACGACTACGCCATCCGTAATAAGGGTAATTATGTTGCTGCACTGACAGTATCCTTGCCTCCTGACGCAGATGATGCTCTGGACGCATGATGATGCTCCTCTGGACACATCCACATTTTATAAAATCGTAGCACAATAATTGTAGTTTTTCCAGCGTTTAATATCTGATATATTTTCCGAGCAAAATTGTTGATTCCAGTTTCATTTTCGATGTCACAATCTACTTTTTTCTTAGCTTAAGAATATAATTTATTAATTTGTTACTCACATAATTGGTTTCCGATCTTTTTTCAGGTATTTTACATAATTTCCTTTCGGAGAGGAACACTCAAACTGAAGCTGTGGGCAACAAACTTGCTGCTCTACTAAAAGATGAAAATCATTTTGTACGTGTTAAAGCAGCAACTGCATTGGGTTATTTCTTTGGAGACATTTAGACTATGAGTACTTGAGTAGTAGTCGCAACTTTACTCGAACAGAAATAATATGGTGAATGACTTACTTGTATGCCAAAAACCAATATAAGATTTATATTTAAATGGTTATATGTATGTGTGTGATTTCTAGAATTCCCGACTATATATTTAATAATTTTGATGTGATTAAATTCCCAAAAAACAATTTTCCGCTATAGTCTGTAAGAGTAAGAGTTTGAAAGCAAAGCATGATCTTCTTAAAATACCACTTTGGTTCAAAACTCAATTATTATTGTGATTATTGAAAAATTACTGATTCACTTCTTCCTGTGACAATTATGTGCCCTTCCTTCCTTATTAAAGAATTGAGTATCAATGTATTTTTTTTTTCTTCTCATTGTTTGTTTTTTTAACTAGAAAAAATAAGTATTTAAAATGTTATTGAAAATTATGAGATATAGTATTCTCAATAAAATTTGTTTAATTGTTAAAAATCTGAAAAGAGAAAAAACCTGCATATAAACATATTTATAAGTTATAATCTTCTGCTGTTAAATAAGAAAACACATTATTTAATCAATTACAATTATGTCAACATTTATGTAGTGTTTCCCCACCACTTCTTCTATGGTAATTTGATAATGTTAAACAACAAAACAAAAGAAATGTCAATAAAAAACGCATATTATATTTATGTACCTTAATAAATAAAAACAATTAAATGGATTCTTACATATTACCAAATGGAAAGTATTGTATACGACCACTGGACCAGCCTATGGTTAAAACGGTATCATTATTTTTACGATGTTTACTTTGAAAGCAAATATATGATGGATATTCATTGGCCACGCCAGACAGGAAACAAGCTGGTGATATGGATAGATTAAATTTCTGTACACATGTTGAGAAAATGGCAATACAGGCGGTATCTTTAAAGGTGATGGCCACATAGAGGCCATTTGGATCCCATGCCACACATTGTGGTTGGCCACCAACTTCACGATCATCCACAGTGATTTTACTTAAGTCGGCAACAGGTAAGGCTTGTTTGGGTGATGAACCATCTGGAAGATATCATAGTTGGAGATTGTAGTGGAATTTATTTAATATTTTTAAAGCCGATGTAGCAATCCCGCTGTTTTTAAACAATGGGCTGAAGTCATAGACGTCCGTCGAATAAGACTCGGGCCTTTTCGAATCATAGACCTTTCTCTCGTGGAAAGCATCCTATCCCTATTGCTGATAATGTAGGCAGCATTATACAAATTATAACGTAATTCTTTTTATAATTCACCTGTAGCTTGCCTCTAGGATTTAACACGTTCAGTTACTATTGGCAGTTCTCATTAAGAAATAAAGAATAATTTTAAATTTTGCAAAGAGGCTGTAACAAATTCTCAAATTATTCCACTGCCGTAATTTTCATTTACTGTTAATCGATTTTGAAAGAGACTTAAGGGGTCCTGAAGCAGCAGTACCAATAATCTACATAACGTCGTCAATGTCACTCATAAGAATTGAGAAAAGTGCTCAAATCATCCCATCAGCCATTTACTTTTCTAACCAATACATCTGTGTAAGCAACTATTAATCTCTAGATGTGGCCAATAATTTTCACATATTTGTATCGGCAGGAAATATTCCCAAAGACCTTCTATTGAAGGATGCATTCATTTATTAAAACTGGTCGCATTTTCTAAGTGTTTTTGAGGTAAAAATTAGTTTCTTTTAAAAAACGTTTACATCTATCAATAGATTAGAAGTCTCGGAGTCGTTACTTGGTGCATCACAAATTTCACTACCAACAACTTAATTATAATACCGTCATTCGAATGTTAAAAAAAAACTAAAATCTTTACTTACTTTGAAATAGCTGTTCCTCGAAGAACTGCAAACGATATAGTATCGGTTCATCGGATGTTACAAATAGTAAAAATCCACCACATGGCGACCAACATGCCGACTGTACGGTACCTTGGGTAATTGTCCAACGTTCTGGTTGCCATTTATTTTCACATGCCCAGACGCGAAATACATTTGTGACAGTCGATGAGAATAAACATGAACTATTGGGTGACCATTTCAACAGAGAACATGGTGGCCCGACACGTTTCAAAGCGGTATTTTGCATTTTATCAACATTCCAAATAATTACATCAGTGTCACCAATTGATGCTGACGCCAAAAGGGTACCATCGGAATTCCATTGAACCGAGGTAATGGGACAATGATTTGGACTGAAGAGGGGAAAGAAAGGTTTGTTCAATATTAAATAAATTCCAAATTGTTCGATTAACTTACTGCTTTAGAAATATGGCCTGTGATGTGGAGCGTGTGATATGCATATTATTGTCCATGGTCCATAGGCAAATGCCCTTTTGACAACCGACAGCCAATTCAGCAGCTGTATAGGGACGCCATGCCATGCTGGTAATCCATTTTTGGGAAGCGCTCTAAAATTTAAAACCATGTAACCAAGAAGAGATGTTAGTGTGGTATTAAGTAGAAAAAATATTAAAGGATCTATTTGGACAAGGCTACAACATGATGTTGGTATCAAAAATTTCTAAAATCAGTCGGAACTTTTGTCGATGGCTATAGAGATCGAACAGAGGATATATTACGTGTCCAGGTTGCACTTTCCCAACCACTTTAGGTTTCTAATTATGCTGTAGATTAGAGCAGGTTCAGTTGTTGAAGAAGGGGAAGGCCACGAATTCGGTGAAAAGATCAAGTGGAAGACATCTCGGAACATGATCTTTCAAATTGGAAGATCTGCGCACAAGAACGACGCGCCTGGAAATCTTTTTTTAAGCTCGGTTTGTTCTGTCATAAGTTAGCTAAGTAAATAAGATTCCAAATAGGAAGTTAATCAAGCGCAGTATTAACCTCTATGGGAGAATGCTCGAGAGGAAGATATCAACTAGTTTGTAAGTGCAAGATAAATAATTTGACTTTCTGACTTCTGGTGTTGGCTAAGTCACTAACACCAATTTAAAACCACTTTCTATGCTCGTTCCTAATTCTTGTTTTTTCTGATTTTCGCAATGCACCATTGGTCTCCAAGTGACACGACCGCTAAATTAAACGGGTGATCATCTTTTAGCCTAACCACTCTGGAAGGTATAAAACTTTCAATTCAAAGATTCGACTTACCTTCAGTACTGGTACAATAGCGGGCTCATCTGTGTATATGCGTACAATATCATCCATACCGGCAACGGCAATCTTAAAGCAATTTGGATGCCAAACAATGCATCTTATATATGAACGTATCCAATCTCTGAAAGATTAAAAAACATTAAATTTTTATTTTCAATTAGTATTTTTAGAAAATCCCATCGCCTCGCACTTACCTTGTCTCTGAATGTTTGGCTATCGAAGCAAGACCTTGCTCTTTCATATGTGGAAATACTTTCGATTTGATACGTTGAAAAAATTCTAAAGTACGAAATGTAAATTCTGCCACGGAAGATATCATAGCATTTCCTCCAGATACCTGAGTATCCCTTGCTTCATTTAGAGCTTCGGCAAAACCACTTTCAAAAAATGTACGTGTTATTCGCTTCAAAACACCTTCATTTACCGGCACCAGTACATTGCGCCATGAATCAGAACATTTAGCCGAAGCCAGTGATGAGCCGGCAATTGAGGTACTATTGAAGGCATCACAATTTATATTAATTTCAGGGTAATAGTCCAACTAAAATAATGCACATAATTTATAAAGGGAAAATTAGATGATCAGCATCTTTTACTTACCCTATGGGTGGAACTTAGTATTTCACGTTGCGGCAACACGCATAATCCTCCCCGTGGAGGAGACGAGCCGGGCGAATGAATTGTGGACATGTCTTGCAGGGAAACCATTTTTGTAATTGATTTCAATTAAATAAACTAACACAAAAAGACAAAGAAATAATAAAAATGTGTCCGACAGCCGGCTTTGCCAAAGTGAAGTTAGCCGCGATGCCGTTTTCTGCGCGTCAACCAAACTAAAAACGTTCGACATGATACGAATGTGAGGAGAAGGAAGAAAATGCATGCTAACGAATAATTTCAAAAGAAATTTGCCGAAATCTCTTTGTTTAGAAAGAGTGCAATGCATAACATAGTGATATTCTGTCAGCTGTGAACACCAACTGATATTATTCCGTTAAATTACCGTTCGCAACTTTTCCAGTTTATAGTTCAAATGAATTTGGAATATTTAACAATAACTACGTTTCACATTCGGCATTTTATAACATTTCTTACTCTTACTGCAAGAATATACCACTTTTTACTACGATAAGAAATATATATTTATAAATATAAATTATTTAGCAATTTTTCCACTGAACACATGATATGCGTACATTTCGAAGGAAGATATTTTCATTTAAATTTTGAAAGCTGAATTCTGTCAAAGGCAAATTTATTAAAAAATTGGAAACTTCTGACTCCATGAGACTACCTTGTATAATTATGCCATGATCAATGGGTTAATTCGTGTAGGTTATTCTGAGAGCGAACTACGTTGTTCGAATGTTCATCATTTTCTGAGTGTATACTTTTAGGCGTCAATGATAAATTCTTTCTTTTCACTCAAAAAATAAAGAAGACAAGCGTTATAGCAAATTAACGTAAAATAATTAAATTATTCAGAATATTCATCGAATATTTGAAACATTTTAACAGGAACATTCTGATTGAGTACATGTTACCACTAAGAATTTACAAACATTCAATAAGTATATGTAGATAGACTTAATTTCAGCTTCAGGCCTGGCAAATCGACCATTGACCAGATTTTCACTCTACGCCAGATCCTTGTAAGAAACCCATGAAAAACACTTCGACACATTCCAACTATTCGTCGGCTATAAAGCTGCATTCGACAGCCCTATCCGTTCCGAGGTGATTAAAGTCATGTCTGCGTTCGGCATTCTTTCAAAATTAATACGGCTATGCAGGATAACTTTAATTGGCATAAGATCAGCAGTTAAAGTTGGAAGGGCCTCTCGGAGCCCTTCAATACCGAACGAGGCAAGGAGACAGTTGGTCGTGTGACAGCATATGCTACTCGCCTACGCCGACGACATCAACATAATGGGTGTAATATTGCGAGCAGTTATAGCCACCTTTGAGAGGCAGTCTGCCAAAGTGGGACTGGCAGTAAATGGCGAAAAGACCAAACTGATGGTATCAACGCGCAAGATGTCCTGTAGACTCGAATCAACTGTGGACCGCTTTGAGGTAGTGAAAGATTTTATATAACTGGGTGCCGCCATAAACAAAACTAATAACATCAGTTGTGCAATACGGAGGAAATCCCGCCAGACCCAACTCACATTCTACAAGACGCTGATATTACCCGTGCTGTTGTATAGATCTGAAGCATGGGTATTTGCACAAGCAGATGAGGCAGCTCTTGGGGTGTTTGAGAGAAAAATTCTCCGGAAGATCTAGGGTCGATCTGCGTCGATTGTGAATATCGCCGTCGAATGAACCATGAGCTATACAATGTATTCTCAGACATGTACGTAGTCAGGCTAAGTCATCTTGGATGAAGATGCCCCAGCTCAAAAGGCATATAAAAGCGAACCAAGTGATGATTCACGCAGAAGTGAAAGGCCACGAATCGGATGGAAAGATCAATAGAAGACAACATCTCGGAAAATGGTCTTTCAAATTGGATGATATGCGCACAAGACTGACGCGCCTTGAAATCTTTTTTTAAGCTCGGCTTATGGAACAACCGTTCTGTCACAAGCCAGCTAAAGGGCTAAACAAAATGTTCGCGTTGAGCGTTTTTTGTTATCGCGTTAACGCACGCAAAAAGTGTTAAAATATATTTAACTCCGATGCGCGCCGCACATCAACTTCGAGCGTTTTTGTTATCGTTTCCTTGTGGTTGTTGTATTTCCGATAACACATAACGCAACGGATCGCTCAACCCGAGCATTCTGCTTAGCCCTTAAGTAAGTATGTAAATACCTGAGTATTTACCCAAAAATTGGGTATAAACTCATTAACCTGCGAACAACTTGACATAGACGGACAAAATTTGACTCACATGTTTTTAATGTCAAAGCGAATACTACTAGGGAAAATGGTCCCTGGGTCCAAGATTTTTGATATAGACTCCATATAACCGTACCTCCCAACTTAAGGGATTTCCTTCTTGTCTATTAGACACATTTTACGATCAAATTGGCTGTAATTTGGCACAGAGAGTTCTAACAAATAGGCATGCAAAAAATTATCGTTGAAGGTGCACGTTTTTGTATTAATACAACTACTGGACTCTTGGGTCCAAATTTTCATATATCATCCATATAACCCCAATTTACCGGGCATTTACCCATTGCCCACCTGTAAGTATTTATGAAGAAAATCGAAAGTCGATCTTGGAAAGTCGACTGACCTTGCGATGTCTTCAAAGATCAAAAGTCGAATTCGACTTTAAGATTTTTCAATACAAAAAGTCGATTACGATCACGTTTTTTACTTTTTACTACGATAACGAATTTTCCTTTATGATATCGAAGAAAATAGTAAAATCTAGTAGATTCTTGCAGTACGGGAACAGACCAAATATAATTACTAGAATGGTAAATGGGACTCCTGGGTCCAAGTTTTAATTTAAGTCCCCATATAACGGTACATCTCGATTTAAGGGATATTTTTGGCTATTTGGCCAAAATTTATCGATGTAGGTCCACGTTTTCTGGTAGCTCCCATACAAACAAAATAAATACCAACAAATGGGTATTTACGTAATTTACCGGGTATTTACACACTACCCATCTCTAATTTTTTTTGTGAAAAAAATCGAAAGTCGACTGACTTTGCGATTTCTTCAAAGATTAAAACATGGCCTATAAATAAGGTCACCAAGGGAGACCAGCTGATTATCGATATCTCTCAAGTTTGCTGTCAAAATGCATTATTGTGAATTGACTTCCATTATGAAAACGTAAACAATGTCGAAATTTTTGACATTAGACTTGAGAAAAAACAGCTGTTTTCCGATTTCGATTGCTATCTTGGTGACCTTATTAATAGATTTTGGATTAAAAGTCGAATTCGACTTTTAGATTCTTTTTCAATACAAAAAGTCGATTTATCGATTAGTCGAATGTCGATTTACTTATCCCTAATCATAATTTGCCTAAACCTCATTCGTAAACAACACGGTGCCCTTATATGGGGGCTACCAGAAAAAGTGGGCCGATATTTATAATTTTTAGTAGAGATATTTGGTACGCAATATGAACCCAATGTACAAAATTGCAGCGAATTCGGTTGAAAAGCGCGCTCAAGAACCCCAAAATACCGAAATTGGGGGGTACCCTTATATGGGGGATATCCGAAAAAATTGACCTATATTTAAATTTTTTTGTGGAGAGATTTGGTACCTGCTAAGAACTCAAAATACTAAATTACAGCCAATTCGGTGAAAAATACGATAAAAACCTAAAAAATACTGAAAATTAAGAGGTACCGTTATATGGGGGCTACAAGAAAAAGTGGACCTATATTTATAATTTTTTGTGGATACATTTACTACAAATTCGCTTGAAAAACGCGCTCAAGAACCCCAAAATACCGAAAATTGGGGGGTACCCTTATATGGGAGCTATGCCTAAACGTGGACCGATATATCCCATCTTCGAACTTGACCTGCCTGCAGACAAAAGACAACCCTATGCAAAATTTCAGCACCCTATCTCAATTCCTTCAGAAGATAGCGTGATTACAACAGACGGACGGACATGGCTAGATCGTCTTAGAATTTTACCCTGATCAAGAATATATATACTTTATAGGGTCGGAAATGAATATTTCGATGAGTTACAAACGGAATGACAAAATTAATATACCCTCCATACTATGGTGGAGGGTATAAAAAGTACTGGAACAGACCATTTGTTGGCGAAGGTTTGCGTACGACGTCGCTTGAGTCTTGGCAGAACGACGATTAACAAGCGAATTTTATGAAGGCTGGAGTCTTGGAGGCTACCCACTGTTCTTTTGAATCTCTCTCTCTCTTTTATTATTTTTTTTTTCGTTTTTCCATATATAGTTCCTTTGCTCCATATAGTTCCTTTGATCCATATAGTACCTTTGCTCCATATAATTCCTTTAGTCCATACAATTTCTTTGCTCGATATAGTTCCGACTCCTACATAGTTCTTTTGAATCTCTATCTTTCATCATTCTTTTTTTCTTTTTTCCATATATAGTTCCTTTGCTCCATATAGTTCCTTTGCTCCATACAGTTCCTTTGCTTCAAATAGTTCAAAAAAGGAACTGGATCAGAGAAAGGAATTATATTAATTAAAGAACTGAAACTAGTTCCGTTCGTTCCTTTCTCGGAATAGTTCCAATGAACTAGTTCGTTCCGGAACTACCCAACTCTACAATTCAGACAAATCAGAGTTAAAAATAAATAAATAATAGAAACGGAAAATAAGGGGGATTGGTCCTATATAATTTCGATGATTAAGTGTAGAGAGTAGTTTTGGTTCTATAATAATAAAATCCATCAAATATTATATAAAATAATTATACGAGTGCGGAAGTAGATTTTAACTTCAAAGTAAATGAAGAAGTCTTATAAGCAGCTTTCTTCGTAAAGATGGTGGTGGTATGGTGGTAGTGAGTGAGTGTGTGTTTCGTCGATGGGTGATGATGATGTTTGTGGTGAGCAAGTTAGTGTCCAAAAATCACTAAGAAACAGTAACAACAGCAGTAGCAGCACCAGCAAAAAAGCAACCGAAGAAATACAAGCCACCTAAAGTTGGGTAAGTGAATGGTCGTTGTCGTCAGACTATAGGTCGGTATGTCTGTCTGTCTGTTGGTACATTTCGCCATTGTATGTGTT